TCTTCATATGTGTGTGCGTGTGTGTGTGTGTATTTCATTGAATGTGATATATATATATATATATATATATATATATATATATATATATATTACAGAAATGTGTTATTCGACATATTTTTATTTTTCATTTAGCTCTTGACCGCTCAGCCAAGTAAGACTTCCGGTTTACGTTAGGATACGATACAGTGTAAATTTGGATGGTTCGAGAATTTGTAGAGAAGTGTGTGTTCAAAGGGCACTGTTCGGGCTTTGACCGGAAGTCCTACGTGGCTGAGCGGCCAAGCACGTCAGATTCAATGACGGTTCATCATAGGGGATGCAGGTTCGAATCCTGCTGGAGAACGCATATTTTTCTGACAACGGTGGTAGATGTAGCTGAATAAAAATACTGTTTAATTGAAAGAAAGTTCTTCTACTCGAATATGAGTATCGATAAAAAAATAACGTTTAGGCAAACTAAATTCAAAACAGCAGAGTATTTATATATATATATATATATATATATATAGTGTGTGTGTGTGTGTGTGTGCGTGTGCTTATTTACATTATTTACATAGTCCGAATTCTTGTCTTCATTTTTATTGTCATATTCACGACGTTTCGGCCGTTGGACCCTACGGCCTTCTTCAAGTGATATACTTTGGAATTTGAAACCAAAAGTTCCATTTAATCCACTGGTAGATAGTGCTCTAGTTCCACGTGCCATGCCTTTTCTGTATATCCCAGTTTCAGTTAGTTTCCTTCTAGTATTTATATTTATTTTGCTTCTCTCTCTTTCTCTCTCTCCCTCTCTCTCTCTCTCTCACACACACACACACGAACACACACTCACTTTCTGCATTTCTCTAATTCTATCGTCAATCGCTCCTTTTATCCAAAAATATCTTAAGTAAAAAAAAATGTCTCCAACTCTTCCCTGACTTCTGATCTATTTGCTTCTGCGAGACTTCTGCATCTGTTTCGCCCTCCTCTTTACACCTGTCTAAATCACTTTTCCATATTCCATTTCCTAACATCTTTTATCTGGGCCTTGTCTCGAAGCCTTAAAATAATTACGAGGGCGACTCCTCCAGCGTTCGATCGAGAGCGTGTCCACAAACTTAGTTACGTAACTAAATTAATGTCTTGCACACGAAAATAACCCACAAGATTTGCGGTGCGCATGCGTAGACATCAGTGCGGCCTTCTAAAGATATTTCTAGTGCAATAACGCCGGCGTGTCAGATAGCTAAATTGAATGCCATATTTATGTATACAGTCATAGATAAAACTTGGAAATGTAATTAATGCGAGAATGAGATAGAAACAGACTGAGGTGATTGTTTGCAGGGTTGACCTCAGCTGGGATCGAACCCTGTGTGTTTGGGATGAATATACAAATTCATGGAAAGGTTCTTACATTCTAGGAGGGGGCGATGGTTCACTTTAACATATGAACATAAAGACATATTCATTGAAGAAACAGGTTGTGTCTGAAAGATAAATAAACTTAAACGGGTATTACGTTAAGAGCATAGATAGATAGATAGATAGATAGATAGATAGATAATGAACAGACTGCGATAGATAGATAGATAGATAGATAGATAGATAGATAGATAGATAGATAGATAGATAGATAGAAACATAATGAGATCGATAGTAACAGAATGACATATATTAATATTAAAAGAATGAGATATAAATAGTGTGAGATACAGAGAGAAAGAGAGATCTAGTAACAGAATGAGATAGATAGATAGATAGATAGATAGATAGATAGATAGATAGATAGATAGATAGATAGATAATGAATATACTGAGATAGATAGATAGTAACAGAATGAGGTAGATAGAAACAAAATGAGATAGATAGTAACAGAATGACACAGACACACACACACACACACACACACACACACATATATATATATATATATATATATATAGAGAGAGAGAGAGAGAGAGAGAGATTGATATTAAAAGAATGACATAGAAATAGTGTGAGATACAGAGAGAGAGAGAGAAAGGGAGATCTAGTAACAGAACGAGATAGATAGATAGATAGATAGATAGATAGATAGATAGATAGATAGATAGAGAGAGAGAGAGAGAGAGAGAGAGAGAAAGGAAGAGAGAGATATGAGGAGACTGGGATAGATAGATAGATAGATAGATAGATAGATAGAAACGATGTCATTTTCAAACCATGATAAATAATACGCTCTTATTCATGTTCATGAATCTATATATCGACATAACGCGACCCATATTCAATAATTCACACTACGATTCAATTCTGTCTGTATCCACGAACCCAGAATGTTTGTACATATCTCATAAACTAACTTTGCACATAGACATTCGCTCATTTATTTTCTCAGGTCTCTCTGGTTTTATTCCGATCACTAAACTAAAATAGTTAATGGATTTTGCCGACAAAAAATACCGTCGTTTTATCTCGTCAACTTTGCTGTAAGCCAAATCACTAAATATTCGTACGTGGATCATGGGAGATTAA